GATTCTAGACATGAATTGACTTGATCATGACCTATATGAATGATCATGTTTGTGTAGTGTATGGATTGACTTTATATGTTCCTATATGGCTATAATTGATCAAGAATGAGGCATGTGGTTAGATTACCTTGAGAATTAGGTATACTTGGTGATCATGTGAGGCATGGCTTGAGAGTAAGGCTTGTAATATGAAGATGACTCTTAGGGCTTGAGGGTAAAGATCTAAAATGAATAAACTAAGGGTGTTAAGGCTCCAAGAAGGAAGCCATTATGTATGTTGAATTGTGTATGGCCCTATTGTGAGAAGACTTCATCTACATGACCTCTAACATGAGCATATGAGTTTATGCATGGAATGAATATTGTACTTGAATTATGATTATATCTATGTTTCGTGTATGGAATACTAGATGTGTTGACTCAATATGACCCTTGAATGTAAGATATGATGTATATGCATGATTATGATATTATATGCAAGTTTATGAATACTTTGAGGCTAAAGTATCTATGATGATAATGTTGTTGTTGTGTCATTGTAAGGACAATTATACACACTCCATGCATAAATAAGATTATGAGGTATTTGTGGTGTCAATTGAAAGGCTAAATTCTCATGTGCACCTTTACATACTATTATGCATGAAATGTACATGACCATGGTAATCCACTTGAAAGGTGGAGGTGTTAATTATTGTGTTTATTGTGGTATTGATGCAACATCCTTCTTTCCTATACCCCTACTCATGACTATGTACCATATGATATGACTATGTAAGATATGATATGACTATGTATGATATGTTAAGACTATGTATGATATGTTATGACTATATTAGTAATGTTGTGTTGAATGAAAGGTTATCCTCATGAACACACTATGAATACAATGTGAAAGGTTTACTCACATGTTGATGATTTTAAGTGAAAGGACATTCTCACTTAAGGAATCCATGAGCTATTATGATGTTATGTTGGTTTGAGTGCCTAGTGCATTCTCTTATGACCATGAACTTAAGTAAAGACTTAATATGACTTTTAAAGGGAATTATGCTTAGCACCGAGGTGGTAGGAGTATGAGATGGGTTCCTTCACGCTAGTAGTTGGGTTCCCAATACGGTGTCTCATGAGATGGAAACCTCCACGTTAGTAGTCAAGGTTTTTAGTAGCAATCTCACTATCCCATAACTATGTTCCCACATAGGTATATAGCTAGTGGATCCTCTTTTAAGCTATTATGTACGTTCTACCTTAGGCAAGTAGGACACCTCTTTTCGGTGTGGGGGTAGAAGACCGGATTCCATGTAGCTCACATGGTCTATGTCGGTTAAGGCTAAATCTCCCTAAATGATAAGAATATGAATTATGATAAGAACATGAGCATGTTCTATGTTTCCTCAAGAGGTTTTACTTAGTATGAATGGGGGTATAGGACTTCATTCGTGCATTGCACAAGTAGGCTTTGAGAGTGGGCATGATGATATGTCCCTTTCATGATATAATGATTATGAGTTGAATGTATGCTTTATATGAATTTTGAGCATGAACTATTCTTATGACTTCTTAATGAGCTTTACTTAGTGTGAGTGGGGGTATGGAACTTCACTTCTACATTGCACAAGTAGACTTATAAATGGGTTATGGTGTGGGTTCCTTATACTATGAAGGTATATGAATTATGTATGCATGATATGGGTTATGTATGAAAGGTATGTATGAATGTTAAGGTTGACTTCACTTGTTATAGGTTATGAACATGTATGACCCCTTACTTATTTATGTTGGCTATGAATAAGGTAATGTAAGATGTGTATGTTGTTGGTTGCCTAAGAGTGGTACTTAGTGTAGATAGGATTATGGGATCCTATCTATGCATTGCACAAGTATAGCTTAGGGTTGCTTATGTGGTAGTTCTATTATGATGAGATAATCTTGGTATGTGACTCTGTGTATGAACTATGTCTTGTGAAGATTGGGATATGTACTATGCTTGGGTTGGAGAATATGTTTGTAATGAGATGATATCTCTTATGCTATGATGATTTGTATGTAAGTTGCTTTATGAGTTGCATTCTCCAACTATTTCAAAGATGATGTTCAAAATGACATATATTATGGTTTCAAATGAAATGTCTCTTTTTATGCATGTTTTAAGGATTTTTGTGCATGGCTTCCATACTTAGAACTTTTTGTGCTAACCCCATCTTTCTACATTTTTCTATAAGTGTAGGCTTTGGAGATAATGGATTACATCCTCGTAGCTAGGTTCATAGGAGATCAAGAAGAAGAATATTGGTGTGTCCTTTATGTCTTTCTTTTAAAGTTTTAGATTTTTGTAAGGGATTTATCCCTAAGATTGTATTCAAGAGTTTTATTCCAAGTAATTAGATGGTTTGAGACATAGTGTATAGACTCTATCATTTTTATAAAAGACTTCGATTGTAATGAAATGTTTTAAATTCCGCTCTATTTTTCTATGATCATATGATTATGATTATGATTATGCTAAGGACTTGTATGAGATGCCTTCGGGGTCGAGTATGCCGTGTTACGTCTACGGGGAACTCGTGAGTCGTGACAGGGTGGCATGTCGATGTTTGTCCTTGCAATATCTAATAAACATCAGGAAAAGTTAGAAGTAATACAAGCAAAAGCGCAGAAGAAAAGAGTTGAAGAACTAGTATTCGAATCTCTTTGGCGAGCAAGATCAGGCTCGCCGAAAGGATTTGCTAAAATATTACCAAAAAATGGCATGTCGGCGGTGGGAAGGGCCTTTCGGTGAATCGCCAACAGCATTCAGCAAGCCAGGCTTAACCCGCAGAAAGTTTCAGTGCTTTTAAGGATTAAGGGCGTAGACAAAGGGCGATGAAGGAATACCTTCGGCAAGTCGCCGAGTGCACTCGGCGAATTCAGGCTTCTCGCCGAAAGTTACAGAACCTTTTTCAAGATAAAACATGAAATTAAAGGCGATAAGGGGAACTTCGACGAACCATCGAGTGATTCGGCGAGCTCGACCCAGCTCGCCAAACGACCCAACGCGCCTACTTTCAACCCAACTTCCTAAATTCAACCCTGCAGCCCCTGAAAAAAAACTCAAAACATGAACTCTAACAATTAAGCTAAGACCCATTACACCCATACCCCGAGATACTCAGACTTCTCCCGATTTTGCCAAATTTGGCCATTTGATGACTTTTGCCTTAAGGAATGACATCAACCGCTCCATCATTTGGCAAATTACATCATTTGGCACAAATGCGGGTTACTTACACTTCACCCGACTAGACCCAACAACATGCAAGTACAACCCCACAATTTTTAATCAATTTTAAGGCATAAAATCTCGAGAAATCAACAACAAAGGCATTACGGGAAATATATCAAAATTAAAACAAGCGCACACATATACAATTACAATCAGAGAGGCCCAACACATATCACTAAGATAAAACCACTAGCAAATGAGTACATATTGCCAAAAATGAATTCGGGGTTCGGAAAATCAATCTTAGAAGCCGAATAGATACTTTGAATCGCTAGGAAGCAAAGTAATTCAACTCCGAACACCAATCCGACGACTAAAATACTCTAAAATGCAAAAAGTACGAGAAATATTGTACGGGTGTGAGTTTGGGAAGTTTAAAAGTGAGGGAAAGTGAAAGAGTTTGAAAGTTTAAACCTTTGTTCTTTAAAACCCGTCCAATTCTCGCCCATTCGGCGACATAAGGTTTGCTCGCCGACACGCCGAGTGGGCACTTACCTCGTCGAGTTTTACAGAACCTCCAGTTAATGTGGGGGTCCAAACAGCGGAGTAGGTCGTGATCACCTACCTGGTTGGCGATTCGCCAAGTTGCTCCTTGGCTCGCCGAATTTTACAGACTCCAATTTCAAAATGTCTTGAGTCCAACGGCGGTCCAAGTCGGTCTCGCAAACCTCTTCGGCGAGTTGCCGACTGGACTTCCAGCTCGCCAAACTGCACTTTTCAAACACCTTCCACACTTTGACTTGCACAATCAACACACCATTATTTAAAACTTAAAAAGAAAGAAAATAAAACTTGGGTTGCCTCCCAAGCAGTGTCTTATTTAACGTCGCGGCACGACACATGTCCATGCTCAAACCTCATTTTTGGGGTTGGCCACAATGTCACTAGGCAAACCCCCTTGTTGTCTAGGGTTTAAATGAGACAAGATATGACCCATTTGGGTCTCCAACTGTTTATCGATACTGAATGGGAGGTAACTATATGGCTAAGGGTCAACACATCTTTTTCATTTCTTTCAAAATCTTTTGTGACCCCTCAACTTTGTTGAGGGTGCGAGAAAGCATATCCTCCGACCCACCTCCTTCGGAATCCTTTGGCTTTTGGCGCTCATGGGGAGGAACATATCCATCCTTCTCCCCTTCTCTCTCTTTCCAAGTGGGGTTACGGTCCCTCCACTCTCGATCACGATCCTTCCAACCTTGGTTACCACCCTGCCTCGGGTAGTTTGAATGATAACCACCTCGTTGGTTAGCTAGAAAGTTCACCTCTTCGTTGTACAAAGCCTCAAACTTGGTCTCATTCGGATTAACACACCCGACACCCACGGCATTGACACCTTGAGCACCAGCTCCCATGACATTTTTGGACAAAATGTCAAGTTGTGTCATGATCTTGGCCATGTTCTAGTCCCTCTCTTGGTCTTTCTCCATCTGCTCCTTGGTCAATTTAAACGTGAGAGGGGAGACCTGATCTTCACGGGTGTACCAAGCCCGATTTATTGTGGTCATGCCATCCAAGAGCTGAGCTGCTATCACATAAGGTTGCTGCATCAAACCTCCAGGAGAAAGTTGGTCAGCAACACCCTTGTTTATCGAATCAAAACTTCGGTAAAAATACTGCAGCAACACGTTGTCACGTAACTACAACAAAAATAATATTTAGTGACAATTATTAAATGGCAATAAGCTAATAGCTACTAATTTATTCTCGGCACGCAAATATTACTGGCATTTAATTATTTCCCTCGCGAGAATACTTGTTTACTGGTAATCTAAATAAATCGCCAGCGATAACATGGAACAACAGGGTATTAATTTCAGCCAAAATATTTCATTTGTGAAATAATCCCTCCCCTGCAAATGAAACTAGGGTTTCTCAACTAGTCTCTCTCACCATTGACTACCACATAAGTGAAATTCTCTCTTATTATCGCCCAATTTGTCTATCTCACTATCACCAGCACCAGGTAATCTCTTAGTACTCTTTCTCTCTCATCTCTGTTGCTTTTAGTTTTGATTTTATTGTTGTTGATGCGTTCTATTTATAAAGTGAAAAACTAGAAGTTTGCAAATAAGCTTCTAATTTATGGCCCTTCCCTATTGATGACCCTTCTCCATCGTCGTACTTGAGTTTTATGCAAACTTTTGGTGCAGAGGTGAAAAAGAAGTGTAATTTACGGTATAATTAAAGGAATTTGGTCCTTTGAAAAGTAAATCTAATTTGGTAATTTTATTTGCAATGCTTAGATGTTTCTTAAAATTTGATGAAAGAAGGGAATGAAGGTAAACATTGAGAATATATTCCTAATGCTTGACCAAATAGAAAATAAAACGGTTATGATCAGTGACCTGAATACTTCACTTTACTCTTTTATGGTTCGAATGTCTTTTTCAAGTATAATATTAGAAGAGGAACATCATTGCTATTTGTTGTTTATGTTTTTGTTTCATCAATGTGTTCCAGTAAATTTTCTATTTGTTTTGCTGGTATAGTTTTGATTGAAAGATGTTGTCAATGGTAAAGTTCTAGAGATGATTGCTTTGGAGGTTACTGTGAGAGGTTAATTTTTAAAAAAGCACTACTGAAGTATGAGATGATGGAATGACTAAGTTTGAAAGTGGAGCTTGTAGTATTTATAATGAAAATTAGAGGATGATTTTGGAGAGTGACTAGATGTTACCACACATGAAGTGTATTGCGATATTTCTTAGCAGGATGTTATTATGTGATTGTAGTTTATATATAAAATCCCTATATTTGGTTGTGCACCAATGCACTTAGGTCTTGGTGTTGGAAAGAGATAACACCACAATGTGTTTATGTGACATTCAAAGAGTGAAGGGAGAAAGAAAGAAAAATTAAACAGAGAAACATGTATTGTATGCACTAGTCTTATTGAATAACCCAGTAATCAAGATCAATTTCAATTTAGTATAACTTTTTCTTTGAACAATTGTTCAGCTAAAGCTAGTTTATAGGATCAACTAAATTAAGTATACAACAAGTAATAATTCTTGTAATTCTTGTGGATATATGTAAGTTACATTCATACTAAGTTGTTGAATATAGTTGGGCACAATTTGTTGCTCACAACACGAATTTTAAAATTGCTAATTAAGGACCAACTATGGTATTTGAATTTTTACAGTCAATTTTTGTTGCACTCACACTATTGAACTCTTCACTTGTTGCTTGCTTACTTGACCATTCACTTTTTACATGAGTACGTACATACTCCTTATTTTAGCACATAAACAACATAGATGACCACCTCTACTTATAGGTTGTGATTGAAGGATTTAGTGAAGGTAATATTCTAGAACTACACCTTTTACTTGTTTCTGCTAATATACTTGAATTTAGACATACGTATGCTTTAATTTGGATAAAATTTTCTTTCAGAAACAGTTTTAATGGGAAATGTTCCCTTTCTCAAAGTGAATTGTTATTAGGGAATGGATATTTCATTTTTTGGGGACCTCAGATTTTCAATTTTATGAGTGGAACATCAGCTCAATGCAAGGACTACATATTCATTTTATTTTTTACATATTCAAATAGCATCAGTCCATATACACACAAAAACATATGATCCACTATTGCAATAATAGTGTGATGGAAGAGTACATACAAACTAAAAGACTCATCATATATGACTTGCATGTGTAATGATCAAGTGTTGCAGCAGTTCTACCATGATTTCCTGCTCAAATTTATTTCACTATAATTTATGATGCATTGTGTCCGATTCTCAATAGAATAATATTTTTCTATATGAATTTGAAATGAAATTTAAAACTTTATTTCTTAATTGGAAAAGAAAAGACAACCTCCTAAAGTAATATTATTTGGACCCTTCACTACTAAATTGAAAAAGCTACAATATCATAGTGTTTCTCTGACTTCTGGCTTGGTATACTTGTTTAATTTTTTGTAACTAAATAAGATTAGATTTGATATATTGTTAAGAAAGTTACTATATAGAATTTTTATATGTAGAGAACATCATGTTACATTGCTCTCTGACTGAAACTTTTCTCTTGTTTAATTATTTCCATGTTGATGTTGTTTAGGCGAAATGTTATCGAATGCATGTGTATACACGTCCAGTATCAATTTCTTGATGCTTCATGGGAAACATAAATGATGTCTGAGATAAATTATGGTAATTTTGTGTCTTTTCCTTGAAAGGTAAGAAAATAAATACCGATTTGTTGATTCAGTTGCATGTTGTTTGCTAGTTAATTGAGAGTTAGTACCATTCATGTACTCATGTGTCTCGTGTATGGTACTAAATAAAGAACAGTTAAGCCTGTGAGATTATTGTAATCAGGGTAGCAAGATAACTTTTTATGCTTTGAAGGATCCCTCATCTTCCTTGGAATTTCTAGGTATAACCAGCAGTCCGTGCTTTGGATGTCTTCCTCTAAACTAGAATTACTTGGCGTAAAAGTGAAGAAAATGGTGTCAGAAGCTGGATTGTGAAAGTCTCATAAATAACACTGGTCAGGAGACCATATCATGTTTCTTTGGAAGCCCTTATGGGCCAACTTAAACACATTCTCAAGGTATAAGTCTTAGAAGGATGAAAATTAAGAATTCAATTCGTGTATTGTTTCAAAATTTCTTACCTTGACTAATTCGTGGAAATTTGCAGGCAAGAAGTACTCGTGGTGATCAATGAAGATAGTGAATCAGTCTATCTTCAGAGAGCTCATTATATTGCTAGTGCAACAAATTATACTATCATTTCTTTGTTGCTTTCGAGAATTCGGTAGATCTCGCCATGCTGAATGTTGTCCTACCCTTTCACGGATTATGAACTTAAGATATTTTGTGCTTACAGCTACATATTGAAGCATATGCAACCAGAGGAAGAGGCAGTAATAAGCTCCTTAAAACAATTATATGCCAGCAACAATAACTTCAGTGCTGAAGATATATCTGTTAGAAGAAAGGATTGGATTGAAGTAGTTAATTTTTTTCCTCTCAAGTTGATAGTTTCAAATTAGAGATTTTAGGTTTTTTTTTTGTTGTAATTTTTAATGAAATACATTATGTTTTTAGAATGAATATAAGTGTGTTTAATTAGATTTTTTTTTTTTATATTTTCATTCATATTTTTAGGCTTGAATATTATTATGCTTAGGTCAACCTGAAAAATAGGTCACAGTTTTTATCGTATAGTAGGAATTAAACAAAAAAATATATAGGTGATTTAAGAGCAGTTTTAGTTACCATTATAATAGCCGGTATAAGAGGCCTCCTTCAGTGAAAATTATGAATAGGTCTTTAACGGCGATAAAAAGGCAGCTAAATCAATGAGCTAGCACAAATATGAGGCACTTTCTAGTGGTCATTGTAATTGCCAGTAGATAAATGCCTCAAAAAATAATGATTTTTAGTGGCAAAAAATCATATCTTTACCAGCATTTGGTTTAATCACCGCTAAAACTTTTAGCAACGCTGGCTTCAACGGCAAATGATCAATTGCTGGTAAAAGATTTTGCGGCAATTTTTATTGCTGCTAAAGTTAATATATATTGCCTCTAAAGACAATTTTTGTAGTATGGAACCATGGGTTGGGCATTGTAGCACCTACTTCTTGAATCGCAGCCAAGTCTCATGAATTGGCTCACCCTCCAACTGCTTAAAGCTCTGAATGCTGTCCCGAAGTGTCATCATCTTCGAAGGAGGAAAAAATCGCACTTGAAATGCGGTGACCAGCTCCTCCCACGAAGTGATTGATTCATGTGGCAATTCAGTCAGGCACTTACATGCTTCTCCCATCAATGAGAGGGGGAACAACCTCAACCAAACCGACTCTTGGGATATGTTCTTGAAGGAGAACGGTCCGCAAACATCCACGAAGTTCTAATATGCTCATGGGGATCCTCATGAGCCAAACCACCGAACAACCCCTTCAATTGCAAGAGCTGCAACATAGTACTTGTGATATGGAACACCGTGTTCCCTTCAGCCGGAGGCAAGCGAATGACACCAATTCCACCCCATAAGGATGGGGGTCATTAGCATTAGGCTCATTGACATCATTGAGGTTTCCGATGTCATCTTGGTTGCCTACTTGGCTACCAATGCTTCTGTTAACACTCATACTTCCTGTTTCAAAACACAAACAAGCAAAACTGAACTAAAATTAAGTATGTTCAACTATAACTAACAAGAACAAAACTCAACTTAACTAAAGATTCTCAACCAACACCACCCCCGACAGCGGTGCCATTTTGATTTCATGTATCAAGACACTTCTTCCAATTCTAAGTGCCAACGATCGTTTGTCAGTATAATAACCCAACTAAATGAGTTGGGGTCGAATCCCACAGGGAGTGGTACATGTTTGAGAATCAAGAGCAAAGTACGAATATGTTCAAGTCATCATAGGAATAGACGTTTACGAATAAAAACATAATTCAAATTAAGGGTAGGAGACAAATTGACCTCTAGGCATATAATTTCCTCCCTTCCACTCTTAGATACGCTCATTTGAGAATTGGACTCTAACCACCCGAGTCCTACAATCGATAGAGGCATAACATGCATGCAACCAACCCATACCCAAAATCACATCGAAGTCTAACATGTCTAAGTCTACCAAGTCAACAAGGGTAAGTCTATGGGTAAGGAAACGGGACATCTCCTACAAATCCTCTTAGCCACCACAGAATCATCAAACGGGGCAGAGATTGAAGAAGTATCTATTAACCGTTCGGGGAGCATATCAAACTTCATGACCAAATAAGGTGTCACAAAGGACAAAGTAGCACCGGGATCTAACGAGGCATACACATCAATAAGAAAGACTTTTAACATATCGGTCACCATATTCGGGGAGCTCTCTTAGTCATCTTGGGATTGAAGAGCATAAAATCGATTTTGCTTTGGGGCATTGGAGTTGAACCTTTTGGAGGAGCTGGTTTATCTTCTCTTCACTTAACCTTGAGCATCAGACAATCTCTCATCTTGTGGCCACTCTTTCTGCAACTTAAACACCCATCCGTGCCAACTAGGCACTTACCATCATGTTTTCTTTTACACTTTGCACAAATAGGCCTATTCACATAAGGGCCACTACTATTACCTCCTTGATGTTTAGGGTTAAACACCCTATCCTTGTTGACCCTTGGGGGAGCACTAGAGGAACCTTGGTTGGAAAACCTTTGGCTAAATCTTGGCCGACCTTGTCCATCGAACCTAGCGTTGGAGAAGTTCCCATCACCGGTTCTAGCTCTTTTCACCTTCCTATTCTTTTTCTTGAGTTTTGATTCCTCAATTCATTGAGCGTACACCATAAGCTTTGAGTTATCCATGTCATAGAGGAGAATTTCTGTATGACACTCTTTACCAATCAAGTCGGACACACGCGACATAAACCTACTCATCTTAGCCTTGAGTCGGCCACCATAGTTGGAGCATATTTGGAGAGTTGGGTGAACTTTAGAGCATACTCCTTGACACTCATACTTCCTTGACGAAGGTTGATGAACTCTTGTACCTTTGCCTCCCTCAATTCTAGGGGAAAGAATTTATCAATGAATGCCGATTTGAACAATTTCCATCCTATCGGGCTAGCTCCTACGGATCTTTCACCCTGATCATACCATACTTGAGAAACATCTTTTAGTTTGTAGGCAACTAACTCTGCCTTCTCTTCTGAAGATACCCCCATAATAGAAAGCACTTTATAAGCCTTATCAATGAACTTTTGAGGATCCACTTCCACTTTGGATCCATGAAATTCGGGAAGGCTCATTCAAGCAAAATCCCTAACGCTTGAATCAACCGAATTAATAATAAGATCCGCCGAAGCTACAACTTCTCTATTTGTTTGAGCCGTCACGACTTGAGCTAACATTTGAATAGTAGACCTAAACTCCGCATGGGTCACATTCTCAATCAAAGGATCTATCGGGGATTTGGGAGCTTGAGGAGGAGCTCCTTGATTAACATTGTCATCTTCCATCCTTCTAGCATTAGCCCTTCGTGTATTAAAATCATGAAGACACAAGAGAATGGTTAGGAGAGAAAATTGTTTTAGAGTTACACTCTAAGGCACGAGTTAAGTGTAATGAAGATATGAGATTTCCTAAAAATCTTGTAGCCACTCATTCTTAAGTGTTGCGCGCTTCACACTCATGAACAAGACTCTTCTAGACATGGCTTATGAGACATCATCCTAGAATCATTCTAAACCTCGTGCTCTGATTACCAAGTTTGTCACGACCCAAGGGTACCCCCTAGATGTAACATGACGTATAGAACCTCGAGGAACTCCAAACAAGCCACTTATCATATCATAACATAAGCAATAGAACAATAAGAGTAAAAACCCATTTCAAGTCTAAAATTTTCAAAAAAAAAAAAGCGGAAGTCTGGACTCTAAGTCTCAGAATAGCCATCTATTACAAAATTAGAAGTGAAAAGGGACATAGCCCATAAAACATATTCCGAAAAGGGAATACAAGAGAGGAACTAAAATGAGATAACATCCGTCCTTGAATCATGAGGACTCACCAACAAGCTAGGAGAATAAGCAAATCCAAGCTTTAGCCACAACGATCATCACTTGTAGGAAAAATAGGCATTAGTACAAAAGCGCATGACGTATTATAGCCATGCATAAAAACATTGAAAACATGCAAGAAGGGACATTTTATTTGAATGCATGCAATTTACTAAGAGAAACGCTTCATAAATACCCTCAAAGCATACTTGTGCAATGCATGAATAAGACCCCATATATATCACCCATGCAATGTAAACTTCTTGAAGCCTATATTTATATTCATTACCTTTAAGATCTTGGAACCTCATATAAAATCTTCTTGAGTAACCATAGTTCATAATTCATATTCTTGTTCTTATTATTGTGGGAATAAGACTTAACCGACATGAGAACATGTGAGCTATACATGGATACACCGTGTTACCCACACTGAAAATGGTTGTCCTACTTTCCTAAGGTTGAACCATACTCTTAGCTTAGGTGGATCCACTAGCTAAATAACCTATGGGGCACATAGTTTATGGGATAAGGAGATTGCTACTAGAAATTCGGACTCAACTAAGGTAGAAGCTCTCCATATCATGAGACATACTTTAGGAACCTGGACTCAACTAGTGTAAAAGGTCCCATTGGGAAGCCGGACTCAGCTCGTGTAAAAGCTTCCATCTCATATTCAATATCCACTCGGTGCTAAGCATTGATTCTCACAGAGTTCATATTAAATCTTGACTTAAGTTCATATTTATGGAAGAATGTCTTGACACTCAATCTAACATAATTCATAAGATAGCTCATTAGATCATGCATGAGAATAACCTTTCACCGTCCATGTCTACATATAGATTCAATAGGTGAGTAAGCCTTTCAACCTTACAATCTTCATATTGTGAGAAAACCTGTCACATCATTTCATATTCATGCATACGTGTGTATATGAGAATAAACTTTCAACAACATAACAACTACATCATAATCATATACAAAGACTTCATAAACATGCATGATATCATAATTTTCCCTTTGAAGGATCAAAGCTCATATCGAATCAACTCTTCTAGAACTCCCTACTTTAGACATGGATATTACCATAATTCAAGTAACCCAATTACCATAAGAATAATCCCATAATATCACATCACAAAATCATAATTGGGAAATATTGGGATTTCATGGTTTCTCGGGGATTTCAAAATAAAAACCATAATAAATCATCAATTCAATCATAATATGAAGTAATTCAAGCATTAGAATCATTTTTGAAAGGAACCTATGACTTGGGAATCACACCCTATCTTTTGGAGATTTCTATCTTTGAAATTGGGATTTGGAAGGGGCACCAAGGATGAATTCTATCCATGGATTCAGAGCTACAATACCTTAGAAATGAAACTCAATGAATTTGAGAAGAAAATCTTGCTCCTTGAACCCTAGATCCAACTTCCTTCTTCTTCTTCCTTGAAGTTCTAGAGAGAGAATTTCTTTGGTGAGGATGAAGTTTGGGAATTGATTTGGGTGTAAGCAATAATGGGGTGAATGACTTATTTTAGTGGGTTTAAATCCTTATATA